CTACTAAAAATATAAAAAATCAGTTGGGCATGGTGACATGCACCTGTAGTCCCAGATTCTTGGGAGGCAGGAGAATCACTTGAACCTAAGAGGTGGAGGTTGCAGTGAGCCGAGATGGCACCACTGCACTACAGGCTGGTGAAAGAGTGAGACTCTGTCTCAGAAAAAAAAGAAAAAATAGATAAAAAACAGCCAAACATGATGTTGCATGACTGTAGTCCCCACTGCTCCTCTGGAGGCTAAGGTGGGAGGATTACCTGAACCCTGGAGATGGAGGTTGCACTGAGCCAGGATTGCACCACTGCACTCAAGCCTGGGTGACCCAGTGAGGCTCTGTCCCCACAAAAAATAAAAATCTGTCTTTATCTACAAGAGATACCTGCTGCCAAACTCATGATGAGGAAATAATGCAACCAACTGTGTACTCTCAGAAACTTGAGAAAAGGGACCAGGACCTCAGCCAGTGTTACCCTTGTACTGCAAAGCCCTGCAGTACCATCTATGATATTTCTTTTTATTCACTCAAAAAAAGAAGAGATGAATTTTTTTTTTTACAAATTACGTTATACTATTCAAATCAACATATCAAGTGGTGCATTTAGAGGTATAGGTCAAGGTCTCAGAGGATGTTGATGAAGTTGAATGAGGAATTTCTCCATGTGGTTTTCCTCCCAGCCATCCAGAGAAATATTAGCCCTGAAGACGCAGAAGATTTGCTGAAGCATCTCATGGAGAATGGCCAGAGTATATCCTTTATGGTGCTATTGAGAACTCACAGACTTCTGAGGAAGCATAAAATTTTTCCTGTGTTGTAGACACTGCTGAATTGATGAGGTTTGCAACTTAAAGAGTTTTAAGCTTTCTTGGTTCACTCTTCTTTGCTGTAAGAGAACCAGTTTCACATCTAGAGAGAAGACAGTGGTAGAGGCCAGCAGCACCAACACAATTTCAAAGCAGTGCTTGATAATCATGGTGAAGGTCAAATATGCTACTTATTTCTGCATAAACTTAGAAAAATTCCAACTCTAGTGAATGTTTGCCTTTCATGCATCTCAAATTATTTTGGAGAGTATTCTCTTTTGTTGGTTTTGTTTTCTAATGTCATTTCTCCAAGATTACATTTTAGATTTTCAGGTTCCCTTTCCATGTTGTTCAGAGTACATTTTCTCCATTTTCCCTATTATGTTGGCTATTTTGAGGAAATAACCAAAATAACTTTTTCATTGTATGCATTCCTTGAGGCAACTACAGACTAGTCATCCAATACACTCTTTTATTATTCTATTTATTATATAGAAAGTTTCACTGAACACAATGTGCTTTCTAAATGTTTAGTCAAGCTTATTAAAGTTCTTTCACTAAGACTAAGTTTTGTTCAGTAGTAGTCTTTCATGGTGTAAAACTTATCAAAGGCTTAGCAGCACCTATAAAGAGTTCAGGTGAAAAAATTAAAATACCTACAAACTACTAAATTTTAAAACCCCAACTAGATCTGTAAATTTGCACAAATACTTGAGCAAATTAATTTAAAAATATATATCGGTAATCTTACATTATTTTATACCTTCTCAGTTTAAACTCTAAGATTCTAGGCTATAGAACCTGTGGGAAAAAATTAGCAAAAGAAGATTCCTATAATATTATTTCAATGACAGAATATTAGAAACAACCCATAGCTTCAACAACAGGTGAATGATTACATATATGTTGCTACATCCATATATTAAATGATATGTATCTATTATAAGTGATAAATTATATGTGAAGAGAGATTGGGGGCATTGGGTTAGTGTATATTCCCTAGAACAGCGATAACTCTGGTGAACTAATGTGAACATCTCTACATTAACAATTCCTCTTAAATTACAAATACCCAGTTCCATATTCTAAGTTTCTCTTGAATAAGCCCTCAATCTACCTTTCCAGTCTTATCCCACTGTTGCTGTAAATATAGCATGAAGGAATCTGAACTCTAGATAAAGTAAGAGATTTAGTATTCCCTTAATACAGCTATCACTTTGTGTGTGTACCTGTGTGTGTGTGTGTGTGTGTGTGTGTGTTTATTGACGTTGCTTTCTCTGAAACATCACCTGTTGCCTCCTTTACCTCAAGAACCTATCTGTGCAAGGACTAAAGACTACTTGTCCTTTAAGGCCCAGATCTCCCCCAAGGAGCTATAATCTTCTGGATCCCTGCCACTTCGTACCTACCTTATTTAAGACACATTTCTTGTTCTGTCTTATATTTGACAATGTATTTACCTGTCTTACAAGCTCCCATGATTAAAAGTCTCTTAAGAGTGTGAAATATGTCTGGTAGAATTTGGCTGTGAACCCATCTGGACCTGGGCTTTTTTTGGTTGGTAGGCTATTAATTGCTGCCTCAGTTTCAGCCTTTGTTATTGGTCTATTCATGGGTTTGACGTCTTCCTGGTTTAGGCTTGGGAGGATGCAAGGGTCCAGGAATTTATTCATTCTTCCAGTTTTACTGGTTTATGTGCATAGAGTTGTTTGCAGTAATCTCTGATGGTGGTTTGTATTTCTGTGGAATCTGTGGTGATATCCCCTTTATCGTTTTTTATTGGATCTTTTTGATTATTCCCTCTTTTCTTTTTTATTAATCTAGCTAGTGGTCTGTCTATTTTGTTGATCTTTTGAAAAAACCAGCTCCTGGATTTATTGATCTTTTGAAGAATTTTTGTGTCTCTACATCCTTCAGTTCTACTCTGATCTTAGTTATTTCTTGTCTTCTGCTAGCTTTTGAGTTTTTTTGATCTTGCTCCTCTAGCTCTTTCGATGACAGGGTGTCGATTTTAGATATTTCCTTCCTCCTCATGTGGGCATTTACTGCTATATATTTTTCTCTAGACACTGCTTTAAATGTGTCTCAGAGATTCTCGTATGTTGTGTCTTTGTTCTCGTTGGTTTCGAAGAACATCTTTATTTCTGCCTTCATTTCATTGTTTATCCAGTCAACATTCAAGAGCCAGTTGTTCAGTTTCCATGAAGCTGTGCAGTTCTGAGTTAGATTCTAAATTCTGAGTTCTAACTTGATTGCACGGTGATCTGACAGACTGTTTCTTATGATTTCCATTCTTTTGCATTTGCTGAGGAGTGATTTACTTCCAATTATGTGGTAAAATTTAGAATAGGTGTGATGTGGTGCTGACATACAAAGAGGAGCTGGTACCACTCCTTCTGAAACTATTCCAAACAATACAAAAAGAGGGAATCCTTCTCAAATCATTTTATGAGACCAACATCATCCTGATACCAAAACCTGGCAGAGACTCAACAAGAAAAGAAAACTTCAGGCCAATATCCATGCTGAACATAAATGCAAAAATCTTCAATAAAATACCGGCACACTGATTGCAACAGCACATCAAAAAGCTTATCCATCACGATCAAGTAGGCTTCATCCTGGGGATGCAAGCCTGGTTCAAAATATGCAAGTCTATAAATGTAATTCACCAAAGACAAAAACCACATGATTATTTCAATAGATGCAGAGAAGGCCTTCGACAAAATTTAACAGCCCTTTATGCTAAAAACTCTCAATAAAGTAGGCATCAATGAAACATATCTCAAAATAATAAAAGCTATTTATGACAAACCCACAGCCAATATCATACTGATGGGCAAAAGCTGGAAGCATTCCCTTTGAAATCTGGCACTAGACAAGGATGCCCTCTCTCACCACTCCTATTCAATATAGTATTGAAAGTTCTAGCCAGAGCAATCAGGCAAGAAAAAGAAATAAAGGGTATTCAATTAGGAAAAGAGGAAGTCAAAGTGTCTCTATTTGCAGATGACATGATTGTATATTTAGAAGACCCCAATGTCTCAGCCCAAAATCTCCTGAAACTGATAAGTGACTTCAGCAAAGACTCAGGATACAAAATCAATATGCAGAAATCACAAGCATTCCTATACACCAGTAACAGACTTAAAGAGAGCCAAATCAAGAACGAACTGCCATTCACAATTGCTACAAAGAGAATAAAATACCTAGGAATACAACTAACAAAGAACGTAAAGGACCTCTTCAAGGAGAACTACAAACCAATGCTCAACAAAATAAGAGAGGACACAAATAGATGGAGAAACATTCCATGCTCATGGTTAGGAAGAATCAATATTGTGAAAATGGCCATACTGCCCAAAGTAATTTATAGATTCAATGCTATCCCCATCAAGTTACCAATGACCTTCTTCACAGAACTGGAAAAACCACCTTAAACTTCATATGGAACCAAAAGAGAGCCCACATAGCCAAGGCAATTCTAAGCAAAAAGAACAAAGCTGGAGGCATCATATTACCTGACTTCAAACTATACTAAAAGGCTACAGTAATCAAAACAGCATGGCACTGGTACCAAAACATAGATATAGACCAATGGAACAGAACAGAGGCCTCAGAGTCAATGCCACACATCTACAAAAATCTGATCTTTGACAAACCTGAAAAAAACAAGCAATGGAGAAAGGATTCCCTGTTTAATAAATGATGTTGGGAAAACTGGCTAGCCATGTGCAGAAAGCAGAAACTGGACCCCTTCTTGACACTTCACACTGAAATTAACTCCAGATGGATTAAAGATTTAAACATAAGACCTAACACCATAAAAACTCTAGAAGAAAGTCTAGGCAAAACCATTCAGGACACAGGCAAGGACTTCATGACTTAAACACCAAAAGCATTGGCAAGAAAAGCCAAAATAGACAAATGGGACCTAATCAAACTCCAGAGCTGCTGCACAGCAAAAGAAACAATCATTAGAGTGAATTGGCAACCAACAGAATGGGAAAAAATTTTTGCAATCTACCCATCTGACAAAGGGCTAATATCCAGAATCTACAAAGAACTAAAACAGATTTACAAGAAAAAAACAAACATGCCCATTCAAAAGTGGGCGAAGGATATGAACAGACACTTTACAAAAGAAGACATATATGAGGCCAACAAACATATGAAAAAATGCTCATCATCACTGGTCATTAGAGAAATGCAAATGAAAACCACATTGAGATACCATCTCACGCCAGTTAGAATGGCGATCATTAAAAAATCTGGAGACAACAGATGCCGGAGAGGATGTGGAGAAATAGGAACACTTTTACACTGTTGGTGGGAGTGTAAATTAGTTCCACCATTGTGGAAGACAATGTGGCGATTCCTCAAGGACCTAGAAATAGAAATTCCATTTGACCCAGCAATCCCGTTACTGGGTATATATCCAAAAGGATTATAAATCATTCTATTATAAGGACACATACACACGAATGTTCATTGCAGCACTGTTTACAATAGCAAAGACCTGGAACCAACCCAAATGACCATCAACGATAGACTGGACAGGGAAAATGTGGCACATATACACCATAGAATACTATGCAGCCATAAAAAACGATGAGTTGGTGTCCTTTGTAGGGACATGGATAAACCTGGAAACCATCATTCTCAGCAAACTGATACAAGAGCAGAAAATCAAACACCACATGTTCTCACTCATAGGTGGGTGTTGAACAATGAGAACACATGGACACTGGGAGGGAAGCATCACATACTGAGGTCTGTTGGGGAGAACCAGGGAAGGGACAGTGGGGGTGGGGAGTTGGGGAGGGATAACTTGGGGAGAAATGCCAGATATGGTGTTGGGGTGGAAGGCAGCAAGCCACATTGCCATGTATGTACCTATGCAACAATCCTGCATGTTCTTCACATTCACCCCAAAACCTAAAAATCAATTTTTAAAAAAGTGTGAGATAAACACTGATTACTGTTTTCTTTACTGTCCATACAACTATAGTAATTGCTTAATAAATGTATTGACTTGGAATAAATTAATATGTTTGAAGCAAAGTAATACAAGATGTTGAATCTTATCTTTGATCATTTCTCGGCAGGCAGGTGGGTAAATCCCCAAATGTCAAAAATAGGCACTTTGTAAACATGTATGGTTTCATTATATGCCAGCTCAGCTGCATGTTTTGTCATAGTCTAGTATTAATAAATTGAAATAAACTGAGTCAGCATGCTCCACAGAGGGGTCTTTTCCCTCTCTGACAGTGAGAAACAGAGAGAGAGAGAGAGAGAGAAAAGACCTATAATAAATATAATATACAGAAGGAATAACACTTCTTTTCATAACATTATGCTATTTGGACAATAGAATTTTGACTAGTCTCAAAAAAACTTTAAATATTTAATGCTGAGCTTCAGGAAAACAATATGAAAATAAATTAAGAATATCAGAAGGGATTCTAATGACGATGAGCTTTGGTCTATAATTAAGGCTTTCTCATCATTTTCATTGAATTGATAAAAATGATCTAAATGTTGTTTAATTTCCAAATGATCAGGCACATTCCATATATCTTTCTGTTACTGATTTCTTATTTGAATATGTTGTGGTTAAAGAATGTAGTTTAAATTTATTGAGACTTAGTGCCTCAG